TATCTTTATGATGCTCCTCCTGTGTTCTAGTTGTGTTAAAGTTCCCTCTAAGCAGCTCTCCTGGGCTGGATTCTGAGGAGTCCCTCTGGTGCGTGTCACTCCGTCGCCATCTTCCCGGAAGTCCCAGAGTTGTTTTATCTACTCTTCTATTGATGGGAATTTGGTCTGTTTCCAGTTTCTTGCTATTGTGATCTGTGCTGCGATGAATTTTATATAATTTTATTGGGGTCTCTTACAGCTCTTATAACATTCCATACATTGATTGTATCAAGCATATTTCTACATATGTTGCCATCCTCATTTCCAAAACATTTTCTACTTGAGCCCTGGTATAAGCTCCTCTTTCTTCCCCTCCCTCCCCCATAAAAATATTTTTACGGTAAACTATATTATAAATTGTACTGGACCCAAAGCATCTACTAATTTAGCATCTGATTTCTTTCTTTTATAAACTATAATGCTATTTTATATATTTTTATAATATAATTTTTCAATATAACTGGGAATGCATAAAAAATGATGATTGAACAAACTTATTCCATTTGATTTTTTACACATTCTTAAATTCAGAGAATGAAATACATTATGTGTAATAGAAAATAAAAACATTCAACTAATGAAGATGGACATTATATACATATTTTTAGTCTCAAGAATTTAACAAAGCACATTAAATTTTGACATTTGAAGATGAGTAAGGGACATTGAAAATTTATTGGACACTGTAGAAATCTTTGATTATAATATACAATTTGTTTTAAGTACAGAAAATACACCACATTTCAGCTATTGCATTATGTCAATGAAAAGAGAAAAATTCCCCCTCCCAGGGGGATGAATAACAGAAAAGTGGGTGAGGGATGACAGAGGATTTTGTAAGATATGGAAAAAATAATGTAAATTTACCAAGGATTCATGAGGGAGGGGGAAGAAATGGGGAGCTGATATCAGGGGCTCAAGTGGGAAGAGAATGCTTTGAAAATGATGATGGCGGCATTTGTGCAAGTGTGCTTGACACATTGGAGGAATGTATGGATTATGATAAGAGATGTAAGAGCCCCCAATAAGAGTATTTTTAAATAAAAGAAAAGGGAAAAATTAACTCAATGATCAACTTGATTCATCATAGCAAAACCAAACAATATTTTGAACTTTCTGAGTAAATAGTTTGGATTTAGTGAATTAATTTTTCTGCAAATCTGATTTGAATTAAGTTAAAAATAATTGGATAATTTCATAATGCAATGCTATAACATTGTCTTAATTGACTAAAATGAGGCAAGCATGATATTTACATAAGGTGCTTATTGCAAACTGTGTTATTTTACATTCATCATTTTATGGCTTACTTTGAAATAATTATATACATATTTATTTTTCTACTTTTAGGCATGAAGGAACTGACTCTCAAAGAGACCAAGAAAATGTCATTGTTGTACTAAACAGCTTCAAAAGCAAGATCCTGGAAGTGCAGGTGTGAGCAGCAGAGCTTCTTATGGGATGAGTTCTAATACCAAGAATTATCTTTTCCAGACACAGTTAAATAACTGATTAACTTGTATATTTTGTAACTAATTTTAGTAACTAAAATGAATTAGAAATCTGGAAGTAAAACAAAGAAGTTAAATGATTTTATAAATTAAGGAACAGAGAGCTAAGAGATACCAAAGAAGGGATTTTTTTTTTAAGTTATCTATCTGCTATATCTATTATATCTGTGGTGAAATAGTATTACAAATTAAGCCTAGAATTGTGATCAAAAACAGATTTAAAAGCAAGCTATAAAAAACGGAATAATCTTTCTTTTCCTAAAAAAAATAGAAAGAGAAAGAATCTTTAATGATGTCAGGGTTAGTTATTTTGTATCGATACTCTTGAAATCTAGTAAAAATGCTGGGTAAAATTCTGAAAAGCAATATACAGTCAAGAAATAGCAAGGTTAATAAGGAAATGGAAGCATGAACCCAAAATTAAAGAGAAACTATGAATAAGTGAAGTACACAAGTATGGAAACTCTTTTCCCTGAGAAAGCTGTATTGCCCTGAGCACATTGTTCTATCCTGGCACATTTGAATTATTCTGCTTCACCTTTTAAGCGTGATAGGAACAAGAATTAAAACCTAAAAAGAAAAAGAAAAAACCCTAAGATCCACAAAAGTGGATAATCAGTTTGGAGACCTTTTCTGCAACAAGTTGTCTATAGCAGAAGTAGAGAGATGATGACCCATGCATAAATGATCTCTCTCTTTTTTTTTTTTTTTAATGTACCCTCCAACCAACAAAGGACCGAAACTTACCTCTAAACGAACCCCGGAATCGCATAAATGATCTCTTATGGGTTACTTTTTTGCTCCATATTTATCACCTAAATCCTCTAGGGAGATTGGTATGGTACACAAACATCTAAGAAAAATGTTCATAAATTTCTGGAAGAAAATTACTAAATCCTAATATACAAATATTCTTTTTTTTTTCAAGTATTGGCCCTAGCACATTGTCAAAGATAAACAAATATACAATTAAAAAATAGCAGGAGCAACAAGTAACAAAAGACAGACACACATAGAATAATTTTAACACAGACCCTGAAACTATGCTTACTCTTTTAAAGATATAAAAAGTCCAATTTGAATTAATTACACAGATGTGTTAGACAGGGTTCTCTAGGCTGGCACAATAAACTATTTCAACAGAATATGAAAGTATACACCAGATTCTTTTAAGAATAGAACTTCTAACAATTTCTTGAAGGAAGAGCATAAGGGGAAAGAACTTTGATAAACCTCTTTGGATTAAGATAAATATCCCAAGTACATTCAAATGTACTTTAGAAATGGCACACATGCATTAAGCTGTCTTTGCTAAAGAGGGAGGAATATGTATAGCTATCAGAAGAAAAGGAATCTGGGGGAAAAGGGGGAGAGGGGGAATGAGGCAAAGGAGAGGCTGCATGATTTAGATGCAATGCCTGTATGAATCCTCAAAGCTGAAGCCAACTAGCAATGAAAGTAGGGGTGCTGGGATGTGGTAAAGAAGCTGAACTTTGCCCTCACGAGGGACAAAGCCATACATTGCGCTCTCGGAGAAGCCATGTAGGAAAGACAGTCTCGGCTAACATATGAGTTATTGGAAATAACTTCTTCCATTTAGTTACCTTGAGATGCACTTGAAAGCTAACCCAGCTTAGTCCATCACGATACAGTGTGGCTCAAAGTCAATGACTAATTAGAGAGCTTCTGTGGGGCAATCTTCTATGGGGAAGCTCCTTCCCTTTAAATATTCTAGGACATGACACTGTTAGTGCCTTATGGGACAGAATCTAATGTTTGTTCAAGAGTATAAAGTCAAAAGAATATTCAAAGGTTCATTAGGAAGAAATTTCTGGGGCCAAAAGGTTTACGAGTTAGCGTGCAGTGTCAGCGTATAAAGATCGTAATAGCTACAAAAGAGGAAAGACAGGTCACTGCAATAGCATGACACCACGACCAGCATCATGCTTTTCATTCTCAAACTGCATACTAGAGACACCACTTTCAAGTTCTGAGAAAATTGGTTTTGAAAATAAAGTTAATTCTGAAGTAAAACAAGAGAATTAGAAAAAGTATGTTTCTTGCCTCCTTTAAGGGGCCCTAGTAACACAGCGGTTATGCCACGGGCTGCTAACTGCAAGGTTCAAACCCACCAGCTGCTACATAGCCAAAAGATGAGGCTTTCTGCTTCGATAAAGATTTATAGCCGCAGAAACACACAAGGAGAGTTCTACCCTGTCCTGTAGGGTCACTGTGACTTGGAGTCAGCTCTGTGGCATTGGTCTAATATATAACTGCCAGCACAATGAATATGAAGTCTAACAAAGAGAGAAATAGGTTGTTCATTTGATAAAGGTAATCCAAAAAAACAGTGATAATAGGACCTAAATAGAAATAAGAAGTCAGTGGTTAAGGTCCAAGTAAAAGGAATTTTAGAATAGAAATTCTATGCCATTAGATAACATGAGTAATAAGCTAGAAAATATTAGGTATGTGCTAATATATGGGGCTTTGAAGAGTTTATGAAAAATGGAAATAAAAAATAAGGGAACTTTTTACACTAATCTTTTGAAGCCCCCTCATACATATACAGTGTATCTCCCTACAAGAGAAAAATGAAGGCAATCAAATTCCAAGAAATAGGCTTATTCAGTGTGGAAGGTGAAAAAAGATAATTAACTGGAGCAAGCAATCGTCTCTAGTGAGTGAAAAAGTTGCCGTGTCATTATAATTGTACATGTAGCTTCAGTACCTTCTTTAGTACCACCCCGGCCCATCAGTAGATAATGTTCACATTTTCATAATAATATGCTTTACTGATTTTCACATGATTAAATTAGCATTCTAGCAAAATGCTAAAGATCATGTTTACTAAACTAAATATAAAAATTATCCATATTTACCAATGGTCAAGTAAAAATTTAAGCAATATAAGTTAAGAGATTGAGAGAAAAGGTAATACTATAACTGAGTGTATATGAGAAATGGTTGAATTTGTTAGAATAAAAAGAAGATATTTAAATATTTGAAATTACAAAAATATTTAGAAGAAAAACTAAGGATATTAGTACTAAAACTTGCCGTATAGAAGGGTAGGGTGGGGAGAGATGATATAAAGAGCTCAAACCTCATCAGTCATAACCAAGAATGAGAAAACCTTATGAATTGGCTCAACGGGAATGGATTTAATGTTTAAGTTTGGGGTAAACTCTGTGAACTCAGAAATACCAGTAGTTTGAAAGGTTGGTGAATCAGTAAAGATGGGTAAAAGCACATTTAACAATACAGAGGTAGCCATTAGAAGAACGAAAATGAAGTTGGATTGATAGAAGACCAATTGTATCTATAGCATGCTAAGATTAAGATATTGCCTCATGGTGAAGAAAGTGGATGGTGCCCGGCTATCAAAAGTTATAGCGTCTGGAGTCTTAAAGGCTTGAAATTAAATGAGCAGCCATCCAGCAGGGAAGCAAATAAGCCCACATGGAAATATGCAAATAAGCACACCAGCCTGTGTGATCGTGAGATGTCAAGAGGATCAAGATGTCAAGAGGATCAAGACCCAAAACAAACAATTATATCCTTGTGAATGAGGCGGGTTGGAGTGGTTATCCAAAGCCTATCACTAGACAATTGGACATCCCCCCATAGAAGGGTTTCAAGGAAGAGACAATTTAACCAGGGCGCAGTAGAGCACCGACGAAACATACATCATTCCTCTAGCTTCTGAATGCTTCCTCCCCACCACCACTACTGTGACCCAGTTCTACCTTACAAACCCAGCTAGACTGGAGTACACACATTGGTACAGATAAGAGCTCTTGACACATACTCTTGATGGCCGGATCAGGGTGCAGCTGCCTTAGCCAGTTCCCTGCTTCAGCTGGCAAGGCTCACTTCCTGTAAGACATCCCTGAGGAGAAGCCACATGGGCCTACCCCGATGCAGCCCTGGGTGCTGGAGCAGCCGTGTGGAGACCCCTGCCAGCGCTGAGATGCTTACACATTCCCTGACTCAGCTTTCCTCCTGCAGTCGGCATCATTGCGTCTGTTTTCTGAGATGGAGGAGGACTTTGGAATCAGGACAGATAAAACCCCCAGGAACAGTAGTGGGAGTAGCAATATCATGTGGGTACGGGGAGGGTGGGTGGAGGGGAAGAAAGGGGAAACCCACCAGGGGGACAAATAACAGAAATGTGGGTGAAGGGAGACAATAGACAGTGTAAGTCATGAAATAACAATAATATATAACTGATCAAGGATTCATGAGGGTAGGAGGGTGGGGGAGGGAAGGGGGGAAAAGAGGAGCTGATACCAAGGGTTCAAGTAGAAGGAAAATGTTTTGGAAATGTTGATGGCAGCATATGTACAAGTGTGCTTAATACAGTTGAATAATGGATTGTCATAAGATTTGTAAGAGCCCCCCCAATAAAATAATTAATAAAAATTTTAAAAAGATATTGCCTCAATATCTTAAGCTATTTAATTGTATCATATATGAATTATATTTTTCAGTAAACCTTCATGGCAAATTGGAATAAAAGATAATGAGGGGGAGAGAGGGGAAAAAATGAGCTGATACCAAGAGCTCAAGTAGAAAGGAAATGATTTGAGAATGATGAGGGCATCAAGTGTGCTTGACACAATGGATGGGATGGAGTGTGTTACGAGTTGTACAAGTCCCTAATAAAATGACTTTTAAAAAAGATAATGATACATTTCTAAGAAAATATATTTCTCTGCTCCGTTTGATGCAATGATCTTAGATTTCCAAGGGACTGTGCGGACTTTAAAGGAGATTCCTGGACACTGGCTGCAACAGTGGGCTCAGGCATAGGAACAAGTAAGAAGATGGCGCAAGGCCAAGCAGTGTTTCATTCTGTTGTGCATAGATAGAGTCGCTGTGAGTCAGAACCACTCACCAGCACTAACAACAGCATGCAGCATAATATGTATACATGCCAAACCACATCATCTCTCTCTACCATGCTATCAGGTGCAGAAAAAGCCAGGCAAAAGCAAGGAAGATATCCTTACTGATAAAGATGAAAAAACCAAAGGAATGTGGAACTCCATTAAAAGGTAAGTAGTGATGAATATTTAATACATTATTATTGATCCATTCCTCTATTATGTGGAATTACTACATATAACAAAATTATAAGTAGAAACAAATCCTTTTCTGTGAGGGACATAATATAAACATAGCTCAAAAACCCAAACTCACTGCCATTGAGTCAATGCCAACTCTTAGTGACACTTTAGGACAGGGTAGAACTGCTTTTGTGAGTTTCTGAGACTAACTTCTTACAGGAGTAGAAAGCCCCATCTTTTTCCTGCATGGCAGCTGGTGGTTTCAAACTGCTGGCCTCGCAGTTAGCAGCCTAACGTGAAACCAGTTCGCCACCAGGGCTCCAAAATAGGTGATTAGAGCCATGAGACAGCTAGCTGTACAAAGCAAAAAACAAGGGTAAGTCAAAAGAGTACTACTACTTGGGTTTCAGTTCATGCCTGCACAAGTTTATTCTAGTCCTGGGTCTAAGCAGGTCTGTGATCAACCACGGTGGCACAGTGGTTACTTGTTGGGTTGCTAACTGCGAGGTCAGCCATTTTAAACCAGCCACCTCTCTTGGAGAGAAAGATGTGTCTTCCTACTCCTACCCGCATAAAGAGTGACAGTCTCAGAAACCCACAGGTGCCGTTCTTCCCTGCCCTATAGGGTCACTCTGAGTTAGAAGCGACGCGATGGCAGCGAGTGACCAGTGTATTGATGACTGACTGTCGTATATCTAAAAACGGACCCTCTGGAAAGTTTGTGGTTAAAATGCACTCTAAAGGATGCGTAGGATTTCAGAAGTTGGAGCTACGTTCCAGGTGAAGTACTTAATTATATGAAGTCAGAAAGATTGAGTATGTGAGGAACAGAAAACCTAGTGTAGGTGAATCATTGAATATAATAGGACATCATTGAATCATTGAATATAATAGATTGGGACCTAGATTATTAGATTGTTAATTTTTTTAAAAAGACAGTATCATGGCTCACATATCTAGAGTTCGGGAGTAGAGTTGGCTTTGTGCATTTTGAAGAAGTAGTCCGGAAACATCATCTTTCTACCATTATCATGGCCTGTTTTCATTTTTCAGAGTAAAAGTCTTTTCCAAGTAAAAGCTTACCTATCTCCAATGGCAAGAGATTACCTCTTTCCAAATACTATGAGCAAAAGTTTCAAGACTAATTCATTGAGTCCACCTATAGCTTTGCATCCAAGACTAATTTATTGAGTCCACCTATGGTTACCATAACTTTGATTGACCATATCCTTCCTTCTGCAGCTGGTGGGAAGCCCTGCCCTACCTAAGTATCAGAGAATGAAACTGGAGAAGGAATGGTCCTCACAGAAATATTAGGTTGCCCTTACTATCCTAAATATCTGTGTTTGAAAACAAGGTGGTTTATTCCATAATCTTAAATGGGAAGAAAAAGTACAACAAAATATACATATGAACACCACAAGTCAAATATTCAATTACTTTTGCATGTGGGTCATACTAAAGGCGACCTGGGTCCAAGAAGTATTAGAAAGTGCAAGTAGATCCACAGGTAAGCTACAGTGATATAAGCCACAGAGTAGACGTGGCTCTCAGTGCTCCTCGTAGATGCTCACCCAAAGTATATGACAGGGCCCCATTAACCAAGCCAGAAACCAAACTCACCATCAAGTCAGTGCTGACTCATAGTGATCCCTGGGGGTTTCCAGACTGCTACCATTTACGGGAGTAGAAAGCCCAGTCTTTCTCCCGGGGAGCTACTGGTGGTTTTGAACTGCTGACCATGCAGATCACAGCCCAACGCATAACCACTATACCACCAGAACTCCTTGCCCTATTGACAGGATCCAATATTTACCCTATACGCACCTATAAAAATTCTTGCTGTGCCATAATTACATTGTGTTTTGAATAATTGGCCTATTTCAAGCTTCAGTAAATTAGGAATGGTCATGGCATACTATAATCATTATTTTTTCTCAAAACCTTTTGAAACTCACAAATATGCTCTTTTGGTATACCATAAACTTTTTTTAAAAAGTAAACTACAAATTATATTAATTGTCACATGCCTTGAATAAGAACAGTTTATAATTGCTGGTGTTTTAAGTTTTATTAACTTCTTATTGGAAGTCATTGCTATTTTTAATGCTTGTTATTAGACTTTATTTAGCTATTAAATTTTGCAACTGTGTGTTAAGGAACTATCTCAATGATTATTTCCAAGTTTCACAATAAGGTTGCATAAAGAAGAAAAGAAAAAGGAGGAAGATGTTCTAAACGTTTTTTCAGTTGCTTCCGGCCATTTATATGAACGCTTTTTAAGGTAAGTGTAGTGTATTTTTTTGTTTAATGTTTTGAAAAGGTAATACATTCTCCTGGCTCAAAGCTCAAAAAGAAGAAAGAGGTGGGGAAATTTCTTAACCTGTATTTTTCTGATATCCTAATCCCTTTTCCACAGGAAACCAACATTATTCTCTCTGTCATATCTTGTCAAAGATATATTACAGATATATACAAGACATATACAAATATATACTTCTTAACTCCTTTTTAGCCAAATAGTAATAAAGTATATACTACTTTGAACCTTACTCCATTTTTTAACCTAAAATTATAAGATAAGAATATGTTTTTAAATTCAGTACAATTTCATGACTTTTATTTAGAATATTGCTTTTTTAATACAAAAAATAGCCATACGTGTATCTCGCACTTTTTCAAAAGTTCCGGTTACAGCACTTTGCTCTTATGAAGTGCCTTCATTAGCACTTGGTTTTCACTGACTGAAAGAAACTCAAGAGGATTTTCACTTTTACTAAGAAGGCCAGAAGAGAAACTAGCCGTCAGCATTTGTTTTGCAGTGAGCCACTGAAGAGACAGACAGCAAGAGTGGTTGTTAGGCTCCTTCCCAAAGACCACACTCAGCATGTCAGCATCAAGCCGCCACGGCTTTGAACTGGGTCTGTGCACACAGACTTAGTGTTATTTTAGGTTTCATGGGTTATTTGGTATGATGTTTGGGGGTCTAGGAATGCTCAAAAGCTTTGCTTTTACACTGTTGTGCCATTTCAACTTATGAGAGATTTCATAGGAGTAGTCTACTTTCAGATAGTGGTGGAAACTAGTATTTATGACAAGATGATATGTGACAAAAATATATAGTAAATGTTTCTTTTCTGGAGAAGAATAGCTTGGTCCATATAACAAGGTCCATATAAAAGTGCTTCAAAAATATTTTATAATAGTGTTGATAATTTCTAATAAAACTTTAGATATGTTTGAATCTTCTTTGAATGGTGTAAGTTAGAAAAAGTTAATTTTTCCAATGAATTTATCACTACAGACAGATCACTCTATTTCAGTTGAATAGGGCTATCATTAATCACCTAGTAGTAGAGCCAAAATTAAATTCCAATTCAGTGAAACAAGGTCGTTTCAGGCTAGCTTCTCTTTGTCAAAGAAAAAAATCAAAAGCCAACAATTTTGTTTATTACTTATATATTTCACAATGAACCATATATTTGAATGTACAAGGTGACTACAAAAAGTTTGTGGAAACACAGAATTAAAACAAAATAAAAAATATAAACTATTTCTCAGCATAAGCTCCATTAATCAAGTTCAAGATACTTCTGTAAGTAAGTGATACTCCAGCCATTTAGTCCAAACCTAAATAACTAAGGGTCCTGAGAACTTAATATGTCGACGCAATCTTTTTTACACTATTAACTGGAGAAAAGGGGGTACTCTTGAAAGATATTTTTGAGATAAGAAACAAAAGAAGTTATAAGAAGCCAAATCAGGCTTGGCAAATGGAGGCCTATTGATAGCCCATCAAAACGCTCATAAACTTGCCTTTATTTGGTAAGAGAGGAACAGAAGCATTGTCTTGGTTAAGGACTCTCTGATGAAGCCTTCCCTGGTGTTTTCTGCTAAAGCTTTGGTCAACCTTCTCAAAATACTCATAACCAGATGTTATCATTCGTTGGAGGCCTGGTGGCATAGGGGTTCCACATTGGTCTGCGAACCACAAAGTCGGCAGTACAAAACCCCCAGCCGTCCCACGGAGTCAGCTGGGGCTGTCTACTCCTGTAAAGATTGACAGCCTTCGAAATCCACAGAGGGTTGCTGGGAGTTGGAGTCAACTCGATGGCATTGGTTTTTTTTCATTCTTTGACCATTACTTTGATGGAGCTCTGTCTTCAGTATTGTGCTTGTAAACCCATGTTTACTCCTGTTCTAATTCTTGAAAGAAAAAAAAAACCCACTTCAGAAGATTTAAGCCATTTGTTTAAAATTTTCATTGAAATTTTTGCTTTTGTCTATAGATGGTCTAAACACATCAATTTGGGTAACCAGCAAGCAGAAAGATTGCTCAACTTTAATTTTTCGCACCGCATTGTGTACAGTGAACCAATTGAGATGTCTATAGTGTTGCCTGTTGGGCACAGATAAGATTGTTTCTTTAATGAGCTACCCCACTGCATACTGTATGTACAGCTTTATCATGTCCTTACGTAAAACAGTTTCTTCCTTGGTAAACTGCTGCTTTCTTTGGGGCGCACTGCTCCCATAAAGTGTTTGTAACGCATCGGTGACTCGCAGTTTTATCCAGGCTTCAACCATGAAGTGTTCTTGCTTCAGTTCAGCAGAATTCATGTAATTCTAATAAGGGCTCTCTTCCAGCTGGTGTCTTGTCCTTCCTAACGCTTAAACCAGAGCCTGTTCAAACGTGCTAGTACACATTATAATTTTATTTCAGTATGAAAATATTGCAAAGCCCTACATTGCTTTTTCATATGCATTCTCCATGAACTTTTTTAAAATTCTGGTATTTCAGACTGTTAATCTACAATTCATAAAAAAATTTCTATTCTCATTAATAGTTAAAAGACTTAAGAAAATAGCATTAACTCCTGTTAATGTCATAATGGGCATATGTTCTTTTATGCAGAATTATGATGCTTTCTGTTTTACGAAACACCAAAACACCAGTGAAATTCTGGTTTCTAAAAAATTATCTCTCACCAACATTTAAAGTAAGTATAATTTTTATTATTGTAGATCAGCTCATGTTTCAGTCCACCACTTAGCTGTGGTGGCTCGTGTGATGCTGGGAACTCTCACAGGTGTTTCGTAGCCCTATCCCAGCAGGGACACTGTGTCAGGCTGGGTTCTCTAGAGAAGTAAAACCAGGGACTCTTGTATGTGTATGTATGTAGAAAGCGATTTACATCCATGAAGAGCTTACACAGTGGCAAAAGCAGGTGAGTTCAGTCCAGTTCAAGTGTCCACTGAAGGCCACTACTGACTCCTGTAGCTTCAGGGGCTGACGAACAGAAAGTGGGAAGGTCATAGCTGGTAGATGCAAAACTGAACAAATCTGAGATCAGCCCAGTGAATCCAAGGTCAGCAGTCCACTGATGGCACCTGGGATCAGCAGATGATATGACAAGAGGTCACGAACCAAATGCAGGATCCAGATTCAACAGTGGAAGTAAGCACAGTGGCAATCTCTACTAAGAGTAGGACACACCATCTAGCAAGGAAATAACAAAGCCCACGTAGAAGAAGCACACCAACCCATGTGATCATGAGGTATGGATGGGATCAGCTATCGGGCATCAGAAGAGCCAAAGCAAACAACCATTTTGATGCAAACGAAGGGGGTCGGAATGGAGACCCAAAGCCCATCTGTAGACAATTGGACATCCCCTCACAAAAGGGTCACAAGGAAGGGATGAGCCAGCCAGGGTGCAGTATAGCACCAACAAAACACACAATAGCCCTCTAGTTCAGGGGTTCTCAACCTTCCTAATGCCACGACCTTTTAATGCTGTTCCTTATGTGGTTGTGACCCTCCAAGCATAAAATTATTTTCGTTGCTACTTCATAACTATAATTTTGCTACTGTTAGGAATCAGGCAATCCCTGTGAAAGGGTCGTTCGACCCCCCAAAGGGTTTGTGACCCACAGGTTGAGACCTGGTGCTCTAGTTCTTTAATGTATTATCTCCCTGCCCCAATCCTCCACCCCCGCCCCAATCATGACCCCAGCTATATCTTACAAATCTGGCTAGACCAGAGCATGTACACTGATACAGATAAGAGCTCTTGACACACAGAATCCAGGAAAGATAAACCCCTCAGGACCAATAATGAGAGTAGTGATACCATGAGGATAGGGGAAAGGTGTGGGGAGAAAGGAGGAACTGATCTCAATGATCAGTGTACAACACACATCCCCACCCCCGGGGGGATTAACAACAGAAATGTGGATGAAGGGTGGCAGCATATAGTGTAAAATACGAAATTAAAAATAATTTGTAAATTATCAAGGGTTCATGAGGTGTGTGGGCGGGAGAGGGGGTCAAAAGAGGAGCTGATACCAAGACTTCAAATAGAAAGTGTTTTGAGAATGATGATGGCAACAAATATACAAATGCGCTTGACACAATTGATGGATGTATGGATTGTAATAAGAATGGCATGAGCCCCCAATAAAATGATTGATTAAAAAAAATTTTTTTTAATGAGCCACACTCTCCAGGAAGACTTCCTCGGTTTCATTAAGACTGTCACCAGATTGACTGCTTGGCTGCTTCATAGACGACCCCTTGTGGAGTTGACCACACCGTGTTAGAACATCTCATGAAAGGATCCTGGCCCAATGTGATATAAAACCTACCTATCACAGCACCCAAGGTAGACAGGTTTCTGGGGAGCTTCCAGATGAAGACTGACTAGGAAGAAGGTCCTGGAAGTCTGTTTAAAGTGGCCTGTGAAGACGCTCCGAATAGCTGTGGAACATCACCTGCTGTGCAGCTGGGAAGTGAGCCCTCCAGGTTGGAAGGCTCTCAAAATGCAACTGGAGAGGAGCTCGTGCCTCGAAATAGAGTCACCTTTAATCATGTGGCTAGATTCAAGCTTTGAGAATCTTTGTCTGCTGATAGAGATGATCCAAAATAACAAGAAACAATGGTAAGCACGCAGTAACAATGAGAACATGAAGCATCAATCTGGTGCACTTGGAGGCCATCAAAAATGAAATGGAACCCATAGAGATGAACAGCCTAGACATGAGTGAGCAGAAATAGACTAGTGTGGGCTATTTTGAATGGACAGTCATGTGGTCTACTTAACCAGAAACCAAAAAATTGAAGAAGAATGTGAGGCATTCGTTTTGATGTACAACACTATCAGTGATAACGGTAATATGCATAGGCCTACAAGGAAGACAAGTTCATATAGATCTTCATCAAATTTACATATATTTTATGCTGAGGATGAAGATACTGAATATTTTTTACCAGCTTCTGCGGTTTTAAAATCTCCTAATGCGCAACCAAGATGCAGAGATAATTACTAGCACTGTATATACTCAAGTATAAGCTGACCCAAATAATCAGCCAAGGCACCTAATTTTACCACAAAAACTGCATTAAAAAATGTGCTGAAAAACTCAGCTTTTACATGAGTATATATGATCATTGGGAGACAAGTGCTGGAAACCAGGAATGGTAGTTAGAAAATGCAGCCTTAGTGAAAAAGGGGCAGTGAAGACTGCATGAGAGAATTCTTCAAGATCAGTGATTTATTTGATGGCCAAGTAGGTTATGTGTTAGGCTGCTAACCACAAAGTCAGCCGTTCAAAACCACCAGGTACTCTGCAGGAGAAAGTTGAGGTTTTTCTACTCGATTTCACAGTCTTAGAAACCTAAGTCTTAGAAACACTGTCCTCCCTCACAGTGCCCCTATAAGTCAGAATCAACTCAGTAGCAGTGAGTTTGGATTTTATGGGCAAAATAGTGGATGATGCATTTAAAAATAAGATGGAAGAAATGCAAAAAATAATAAAAATCACTGAACCAAAAAGAAAATTCGACATTCAACCATTTTACAAGGTAACATATACCGTACATACTCGAGTATAAGCCAACCCGAATATCAGCCGAGGCACCCAATTTTACCACAAAAACTGCACTAAAAATGTGCTGGGGGACTCAGCTTATACACGAGTATATAGGGTAATCAAGAACTGATGGTATTGAAGAAAGAAGTTTAAGCTTCACTCAAGGTACTGGCAAAAATCAAGGCTCCAGGAATGGAGAGAATACAAATTAAAATGTTTCAGCACACAGTGTGTTTCTAGGCTTATGCCAAGAAACGTGCTGGTCAAATGACTGGAAGAGGGCCGAAGGTGTGCCCATTTCAAAGACAGGTCAGACAGCAGAATGTGGAAATGTTGAACTAGTATCATTTAGATCCTCGGCAAGTAAAATGTTGCTGAAGATAATTTAAAAATGGTTGCAGAAGTACACCTGTAGAAACTGGCAGAAATTCAAGCCGGATTTAGAAGAGGACATGGAACAAAGAGACCATTGCTGGCCGAACAGATGAATCTTGACTGAAAACAGAAGATACCCAAAACATGTTTACCTGTCATTGATTGAACACACAAAGGCATTTGTGTGGATCATAGCAAGTCACGGATGGCCTTGCAAAGAATGGATACAAAACACGTCATTGTGCTCCAAGAAATCATTCAAACACAAGGGTATAAGATGAAGAAAGGTGTGTAGATCAGGGTTGTATCCTTTCGCCATATTTATTCACTCTCTCTGCTAAGCAAACAGTCCAAGACGTTTGACAATGAAAAACACAGGAAGGCTCATTAACAATCTTATCGCAAGTGAAGCAATCTTGCTTGCTGACAGTCAAGAGGATTTAAAGCATTTAACTAATGAAGATCAAAGATTTCAGCCTTCAGTTTGATTTTCTCAAACATTAATAGTAAAGGTAGACAATCACACATATTAGTTAATATGCTGCTAACTACTATGGCATACCTATTATTTTGTATAGTATTAAATTGTATAGTTCATCTATAATTTTATTTTTAATTTGCCAACATCTTCATATTTCCCATTAGTAGGAACACGTTTTGTAAGAAGTAGTATTTAGGCATTTTACTCATTAGTTTGTAATTATATATAGTAACTTTTACCTTTCACTGTCTCTGTCTCTCTCGGAAAACTGCTCTCCCTTCCTTCCTTGATTTTGTAATGTGTTCTTTTAGGAAGTCATCCCGCACATGGCTGAGGAATATGGGTTCCAGTATGAACTCGTTCAGTATAGGTGGCCCCGTTGGTTACATCGACAGACTGAAAAACAAAGGATTATTTGGGGTTACAAAATTCTTTTCCTCGATGTCCTTTTTCCTCTAGCTGTGAACAAAATAATTTTTGTTGATGCTGACCAGGTAATTTGATTAACTGTTGTTTTGAGTTGTACTCAACGTTGTTTTTTATACTTCTCTCTGCATGTAGGTGCTAAATTTATGTTACTTGATGTTCATTATTATCTTTCTTTGCTGTTGATCATAAACATATAGCATAATTTTGATATATGAGCACTGTGTTCATAAAACAAAAGGTCAGAATTACACAGAAAGCTCTGGGGTATTTCAGAAACTACCATTCATAATTTAGGACATGGCCATTTTCTCTCTGAAATAACTTGTTTTGGAAAGCATGAGAATTAAAAAAAAACAACTTTCATCTTGGGCTTCCCTGAATATAGGATATTTATTGATAGTCACTTGAAATGAGCCTTTTTTTAACTGGAACCCCAAACCCCACTGCCATCAAGGTGATTCCTACTGAAAGCAACCCTAAGGTTTCAGAGGTTGTAAATCTGTACAGGAGCAGACAGCTTCAACTTTCCCCCAAGGAGCAGTTGATGGGTTTGAACCGCCACCACCTGCTCATAGCAGCACTATTAGAACTCTTTTTTCTTTATTATTATTAATCATTTTATTGGGGGGGGGCCTCTTACAAATCTCATGACAGCCTTCATTCAGTTGTATTGAGCACACTTGTACATATGTTGTCATCAACATTTCCAAAACATTTTCTTTCTACTTGAGCTCTTGGTATCAGCTCCTCTTTTTTCCCCCTCCCTCCCCCACCCTCATGAATCCTTCATCAATTATACATTATTGTTGTTATTTCCTGTCTTACACTGTCGGTTGTCTCCCTTCACCCACATTTCTGTTATTAATCCCCCTGGGCTATATATCCAGTCTTGTGATGGGTTCCCCCTTTCTCACCTTCCCCCCACCACCACCACCGTCCCCCTACCCTCATGATATCGCTACTCCCACTACTGTTCCGGGTTTTATCTGTCCTGAATTCCATGTGTCCAGAGCTCTTATCTGTACCAGTGTGTATACTCTGGTCTAGCCAGATTTGTGAGGTAGAACTGGGTCATGGTAGTGGAGGGGAGGAGGCATTCGGAAGCTAGAGGAATGATGTGTGTTTTGTTGATGCCATACTGCACCCTGGTTGAATTGTCCCTTCCTTGTAACCCTTCTGTGGGGCGATGTCCAACTGTGTACAGATGGGCTTTGGGTCTCTAGTCCAACCCCCATTATTTACATCAGTATATTTTTTTCTTTTGGAGCTTTTGATACCTGATCCTGTCTACACTTCATGATCACACAGGCTGGTGTGCTTCTTCCATGTGGGCTTATTTGCTTCCCTGTTAGATGACTGCTTGTTTAACTTCAAGCCTTTAAGACCCCAGATACTATATCTTTTGATAGCCAGGCACCATCCACTTTCTTCACCACATTTGCTTATGAACCCATTTGTCTTCAGCGATCGTGTTGGGAAGGTGAACGTCACAGATTGCCAACAAAGAGTTCTTGCAATGAGGTAGAATTTGCGTAGAGGTCCAAAGTCCATCTGCTATCTTAATACTTAACATATAAATATATGTACATTGGCCTCTATCCCTTTCATTATAAATTAATATATTTACATCTATACGTGTCTATAGCTATACCTCTATAAATAGCTTTTGCTTCTTCTTTCCTCTATTTCCTTTCACCTTCCTCCTGTCCCACTGTGATGCTCACCCTCCACGCAGCTCTCAGTAAGTCCTCTCAGATACATTGCACTTGATCAAACCCCCCACCAGGCCTCCTCACCATCATTTTTAGATCTCTTGTTGTTCCCTCACCCTGAGTTTGTTGGCTCCCTGCTCCCCCTCCCCACGCTGTCCTCTCCCATGGCCCCCCAGGGCCCATTGGGCCCATTGTTTTCTCCTTGGGATTATTTATCCTGCCTATCTTATATATAGAGACATAGAGTGAAAAGGGAAAAAAATGCCAATAGTTTTAGGTCTCTCTTCTGACCCATATGAGTGTTTTCCAATGAGGTCTGATGAGGTCCCAAGCCCTGTCCCCTGAGTTAGAAGTCTATTTTCAGAATTCCTTGGGAACTTGATTACTTTGCTCCCCTTGCTGTCCTGTTGCACTCGTTTTGCATTTCACCCCACTGTGTGTATGGGGCAGACTGGGCACACTGTCCACACATTGTCTCCAGTGCTCTCCCCCATAGTGCTATGGGTCAGTGAGGGAATGTCGTGTCTCATGGTGGAGCCGGCCCTATGGTCCTCTCTGTACATTGGCTGCTATGAGCAGGGATGTTGTCCCTGGGGCTTGGTGGGCCATGATGAGGTGTTCTCTCTCTCTTTCTCTCTCCCCCACCCCCCTTATCTTGCACCCATGCGATCTGGAAAAACCTGCCACTCTTCCAGACTGTATCTTCAGTGCTGTCTTCTGTACTATATTCTTCTGGGAAGGGGGTCAGAACAGCTGGGCTTGGGCCTGGCCCCACCATTACAACTCCTAAAACTAGTTCCCAATTATACACAACTCTTCCTGCATTCTTCTCCTTTCAGCAGCTAATAACTCAAATCCTTATTCTACCATCTAAGTTCTTAAATTTCACACACACACAAATTAGAATTATAGTCCTCATTAGAATTTATTCTAAAAAAAGTTACAACCTTTTCATTATTCTTTACATTGCCTAGTAATCATTGCTGTAAACGGCATGGAAGACCAGCCCTGACCCCCTCTGGTTTCCCATTTGCCATGAGGGCAGAGGGCAGACAGGGCTCTACTCTCCAACCTTCTTCCCTGTTCTGACACCAACCATCCCTCCCACAGCACGGAGCTAGGTTTGATCATTCATGACGCTGGCATCACGGAAGCCCCAGACAATACAGTTCAGGAACTTTGTTGGGGAAGTTAAAAGGTTATCATAGCTCAGAATCAGTAAATGTTAGTCATCGGTCCACAGCCAACCCCTCACCTCTGCCAGCAGTCACCTCTCTCTGATCCTGAGCCTCTTAGCACATAACCCTTAGCCTCTGCTTCTGTAGGCCAGGAAGCCCACGTGCTGCTCTGCCTCACAGTCCCAGAAGGCTCCTCGGCTGTTTCTCTGCTCTGTCTTAGGATCTCATTGCCTCCGCTTTGGTGCCTCTGATCTCAGCTCTGCCGTTGCAGACAGAGATCTCAAACGTGCTCCACTTCCAGTGGACCTGGAATTTCTCTCTGCTTCCCAGATGACTCTAACACATGGGGACAAGGGCTTCCGACCCTTCAGCAGATGAAGGAAACAGGCTGGTGACTAGGTTCACACCCTCTGCTGAAGTGCAGAACTTCACCCTACCCTCATTCTGCCTGTGAGAAACGCAGAGAACTCTCTCCAGACTGGGGTCATCGCCATAGGCAGAGAGGCCATTATACTTCACAGAGGGAGTTACGGTTAGAAGGGCCTTAGTAATTCACTACGTCGCAATCATTCATGGGGAAAGTATTTGGAAAACACAGGAAATTTTTTTTAATCATTTTATTGGGGGCTCAAACAACTCATATCAAAATCCATACATCATTGTGTTAGGCATATTTGTACATTTGTTGCCATCATCATTTTCAAAACATTTGCGTTCTACTTGAGCCCTTGCTATCAGCTCCTCATTTTCCCCCTCCCT